AGCAAATGTCAAACTTCCACGGCACATCTTACCCCTTCTTTAWCAGGACTTCATATCTTGAGGGTGCCCTAAAACTGCAGTGTATAGATTTTTTTTTTTAAGAATGTCATTTCACTATTCCAGAGARCATTTAATTAAACTGGATTCATTACTTTCATGGGGCAAGTTAACTGAAAGCTAAATAGATGGCATATGATTACATATTATTAAGAAGAGTGACTGCTCCGGAGACTGAATGCTTTTAACACAACATTAAGCTGAGCTCATTTCACATGCACAGGTTAGTGATGGCCTATAAGGAAAACATATTTTGAGAAGATCAGCAGAATGGTTATGGGCACTAAACAGCTTTTAACAAAATGCACATTTCGGCAAAGAAACCATTTCTCAGCTCGATTTAAATATGCTAATGCAAGCAATCAAAGTTTCTCACCAATTCCAGGTAACCTTTTTAAAATTAGCTCCTTTATAGTGCAGGATGGATGAAAATGGTAAGATCAGCTTTATTTATTGTTTAACTGGCTATAAATTAACACAAGTCCAAAAGGTTTTGCAACGAGTCCAAAAATAAAATTGGAAGTAATAGGTAGGTTTGAGTCATTGATCAGATCATTAGTTTTTGTTGGGTTCTAGGAACATAAGAGCTAACCCCGGAGTCGCCYGGTTCTTCCAGCAAAGCCTCTTCTGTCTGGCTGCTTTCATCCTGCCTCCCGAGCCTTTCACGCTGCAAATCCTTGTCAGGCCACAAATTTTCCAAGCATTTGCTAATCCAAGCTTTTCCAGCATTATTTTTTTAAGCGTGGCTCTCTGTTATCCCTCTGCCATCCTGTCTCATTCCGGGCGCAGCCGGGCAGTGCGATGGAGAGGAGCTGCAGCAGCCCAAACACCACTATTTGCATTTTTACAGCAGCAATTTGCCTTCTGCTATGACAGAAACTAGCATCTGTCTGAGCAGCAGTCCGCTTGTCCCTCTGCGGGAGGGATCCCAATCCCGTAGCAGCTTCCAAGGGAAAGACATCCTGACTCCTGACTCCCGAGCCTTCCTGCAGTTTGCTTGCCAGCAAGCTGGAATTTCAAGCTCTCCTAACCCCCATGCTTCCATTGTGTGTCACATAAGCATGAAGAACAGAAGTCTTTCAGGCAGGATTTGCTTGGGAGCATCTTAGTGATGCACCATGGCTGTGTCTGCCTGGGATTCAACACGGGACATGGGAGGTCTCACATCCATAGGCTGTGCAGGCATCACCCAACGCTCACCCTTGCTTAGGGACCAGTCATCATGGGGAATAATGAGCTGAATTAAGGCAGAAAAAAAAATTAGACCATAAAACAGAAAATGCTACTTTTATGCTGGTATGTGTTATACACTGTCTCTAGACATTTCAGCTCTGCCTAAACCAAGTTTTATATGGTTGGACTAGTGTGGCTTTATTGACCAGGCAGGGAAGTGAGTGCGGAGCTCCACATTGCTTATGGTCCCTCTTCTCAATAATGGGTCTTGAATAAAGTAAAGTAAAGTAAAGTAAAGTAAAGTAAAGTAAAGTGAAGTGAAGTGAAGTGAAGTAAAGTAACGTAAAGTAAAATAAAATAAAATAAAAATCAGTTCTTTTGTGAAAGGGGAATATGAGGAGCCCACAATTTCAAATCCCYACTCTGCCACGGAAGTTTCCAGGTCAGGGAGCACTGATCCGAGCTCTTAACACAAGAGTCCCGCTATGGCATGCTGCTCACGGATGTGCGCTCCAAACCCRGTTGCTCACGGCATTCGCTACCTGAGGATGACACGAGACCTGATAGAAAAACCCATGATCGATGATAGCAGTAGGATGAGGAGCCTGGAGGGGGAAGCCGAGCGGGAGAGCAGGTCCCCTTCCCTGCCCTGCCTGGATGATTGTGCCCAGCCACGGCTGCTTTGTCTTGCAAACAGACCCACTTGCTCTGGAAAGCGGATTTGGAAGCACGGGAAAAATCAACCCTTGCCTTGTTACCTTGAGACCAGCACGGTGCRTAAGGGCTGTTTGTACCTGTTTCACAGCTGCTGGCTGCAGTTATTTTTAAGCTCCTAGAGTTGCTTTTTTTATGCTGACAAATTTTAAATGACTGAGTATGAAATGTATGGCAGAGCTTTATATTGAATAATGAAATAACATGGGAGGTGATCAACAAGCCCTTTAATGCCAAGTTASCTTTTTCCTGGTTGTTGGGCAAGATCATGCTTCAAAGCAAATTAAAAATGAGAGGCCAAATTCTGGCTGCGAGGCAGGCAGTGGAAGTTCCCCTGTCAGCCTCAATAAAAATAGGAGTAAGTTTGCTGTGTTAGTCCAGTCCATCCAATTCACATATCTATCTGTCTTTATCTAATCTAATATATAGTCATGAGACAAATTACAGAAGCGTATGATAAATGGCATTGCTATTCATTTTTGGCAAGATCACCTATACGCCGGCCGCTAATTCATCTCCGCCAGGATTCACGCTAACCTTCCTTGAAAAAGCCTCCAAAAGTGGCTTTTCATTTCCTTCAAGAAAACAAAGAAATGAAATATTCTCTTCTCCCTCACCAAAAGGCAAGATATCTCATTGCCATCTCTTTGCAATTGCTGGTATAAACCCATCATATCCTTATATTGAGTTTATGGTTGAAACTATGATACAGATACATAGGTTTAGGGATTTAGAAGGTGGTTAATTTGGTTATTTCAGTTATTTTGGTCTTGCTGAGGTGAGGGAGAGCTTTGCCACTGATTTCAATGGGGATTGGGCTCCACCCTACAGGATTTAGGAATAGCTGAGGYATAAATGGTTACGTCCATCTAATTAGGTGAATTGCTGTAGGCACTTGAGATATTTGATAGACAGATGCATTCAGCCAGATAGATATCCCCTCTTGTAGCGAGCTGGAGTCAATTACGGAGTTAAATTGTGAAAGATTTGACCCAGTGTCATCTACATCTTGAGCCATAATTAACACTTAAAGTTCAACGCTTTGGCAATTTTCCTTTAATAACACTTAAAACCCACATGGAGCTCCAAGACTTTCACAGACGTGATGAAGGATGACTCGAGCGGATGCCAGAATTTCAGGTTTAGCTATTAATCCTCAAAACAGGTAACGTCCGTGTGCTGCAGCTTCCCCCTGGCAGAGAGGCTTCTGCTTCTCAGCTTTTAATGCAGGTGAAATACGAACTACACTGGGGGAGCAAACACACTGCAGGCTGAGACCTTGCAAGCTGAGACCTTGCAAGCTGAATTGCGGCTCTTTGCAGGCTTTTACAGTCCAGAAACAGGGGTTTGCGCTGACAAAACTTTTAAACGACGGCGGTGGAAATGGCGCCGCAATAATTTATAATCTGCAGGCAGCTCTTGGATTTATTATCACAGTGACAAATGCACTGTCATTGTTAATAGGATATTTCCCAGCAAGGACTTCTTGTTATGCAAGCCAGGTTCACTATGTCATGCAGCATGATAGCAATAAAGTCTACAAGAATTTGTAATGAACTTCAATTACTAATAGATTATGGTTAATGGGAAATATGTGCAGTAAAGATATGGGTTTTTATATGCGCCTTCTGGTACTCTACAAGGCAATGATTTATGCTACAATTTATGTTAACATTCTCTAGGACGGAAAAAAAAAGCCAAAATTGGTGGAAAGCTGCTTCATCCATAACAAATATTTAAGATAATTTTGCACATCATGTAAATGAAGATGTAAAAATAAGATATTAATCCATTTCATTCTGGCATTTGTATTTTTATTAAAATTGAAGACTTTGCCCTACCATGTAATGACATTAAAAAAAAATACCATGGTCTGTGAGCATGAATTACATCCACGTGGGAATGGCGGCATCGTCAGAGATGTAAGCTCGCTTTGTTCAATTAGAGGCTGTAATTAACAGAGAAGGAAGAGCATTCTGATGAGGGTTTCAAGCAACAGTCTCAAAGCCCCATCCCTGGGTGGCAGCTCTCCCACGGGAATTGCCTCTGGAGCAGCCCTCGCCTCAGCACTGCAGCCAGGATCATGCATGGATTTGTCATGGGAAACCCCACTGGGATGTTTCATATATTTTGCAAGAGTTCTCCTTTTCCTCCCTCGCTCTAGGCTTTTCCCCCTGCCTTGTGCTTGYGATCTAATCCAAACGCTCCAGGTTTATGAGCCTCTGTAATGRAGAAAAAGGATGATGCCTACGAATTTTAAGCAATATTGCTGTTTAGGACCATCTCTGACAAGCGGGACATGGAGAGGCAATGCAAAGTATTGCATTTAACCAGAAAGAGATGTGCATGGGGCATGCACAAGTCACACAGTTGCTCCTGGGTATTTTGCATCCCTGCTACCCAGTGCCTGTGTTGCTTGGAGGGGGTTCCYGCCAGCCCGAGGGCTGGTGCTCCCTACTGCACGGAAAAGCGTCTCTCCGGGCTTTAGGAAGTTGGTTGAGTCATTTGCAAAAACTCTTCCAGTTTTTCTATGGCCGAATGTGCATAAAATTGTCTCTCCCCACACTCATTTTCTGCTAAATAATATTTATTGGGCTCACTTCTTGGAAATGTGAGTTTGCAATGGAAAATTAAAGGTAATTTATCCCCTCCTGACACTCATCTGGCATAGTTTTCCCCCCACACCTTAGTGGAAGTAGCTAAATAGAAGGAAGTTAACTGGAATTTCTTTCTTTTTTTTTTTTTTTTTTTTTCCAGTTTTCTAAATGAAATTCACTGCAGAATGGACGAGAACCGCCTGTGTCTGTTTTCCCTCTCCAGCCTGGGGCAAATGTGCCTTTTCCTTTGGTAATTCTGCTTTTAGACTCATCTGTGTGCATCACCATGGGCCCAGCAAGTGAGTTAATGGGGTATTTCTCCCTTTGCAAGTCAACAGAGCAGGATTTCTATGGAAATATAGTGCCTTTAATTTGGTTTTCATTAGAAACACATGCAATGTGATGCCCTCAAGAGATGTTTTTGCYCTTGCCCACGTGTCAGAAATATTTTTTTTGATGTGTCAGAAAATATTGAGATCATCTAACACAGGGTGCCACGCATGGCACTATATAAAAGCAGCAATAGATGCAATAGATTTTGTTCTGCTCRTCAACTAAGAAGTATTTTGGAAATGTCCTAAAGTACACTGGGATTAATATTTGATCACTGGAAGAAGCACGTGTTCCAAATAATTCACCTTAAAAATGAATATAAGCAGCCACTAATGCCTGATACATTTACTAGTAAATCATTTCTAATCATTTTGTTAATCTAGATTGCGTTGGAAATAAGCACTACTCTAAAATAAAACATTATTTCTTGTAGCCGAAGTGTTACATAAAGCAAAGCATTTCGGCACTGAATCAAATCCTTTCAGCGGTGGAAATCCCACCTGCCTCCCTGGATAAGCTCAGCCAAGCTCTTCAAGCCATAAAATTGTTTAGCAGAACCAATGCATCAGGCACCGAGCTGGGGCCGCTGCTCCCGGGGAGGAGATGYAGGAGAAGGAGCAGGAGGATGCTCCGGCTGGGAATCCCGGCAAACAGGTGCTCCGGAGCAGGATCATCAACCCAGCCATGAAAAACAAGGTTCAAAAATGTTTGCTCCTGCTGGATGTCTCATCCTAGACAGGGGATGCATTTCCCAGATGCAACTCCACTGGAAATGAGATAAATCCCACCAAAAAGTGTCAGTTTGGCTTCTAAATTTATCTTCATGACTGTCACCTGAAAAAGTTGACAAGCTGAATGTGACCCTTGCTATGAGGCTATTTAGAGGCCAGCACTAGAATTTTGCACTTTTAAATAAAAATGCGAGATAAGCCCCATGTCCAATGGCCTCCTCTGAGCACCCGCCATCTGCAGCCCAGGAACATGGGTACTGCATCACCATAAAAACAATGGAAACACGGGAGCAGGGAAGCAGCACAGTCTGATGGCGTTAACTTGCACAGGGAAGCGCTGCTGTCACACGGCTCTGGACCTCTGCTATCATAGAGACACGAGGTTTTGAAATCATGAGTTGAAAAAATTGGGTCGTGCAACCACCCGAACAGTCGCTGTTCTGAGCCTCAGGTTTTGCCAGGTGTAAGAAGCTGTAAACTACTAAATGTGCTCTGCAGTTTTTAGCTGTTGAGGATAACCTTGCACACAGGCCACTGTTACTGCTTATGCATCAGCCAGAGGAAACGGACAGGTCTCCACAGTGCTTCAGTTACACCCAAGCTGATTATACAACATACATACAATAAAGCACCATTTACTGTTCCCTAAATTCTGCATGCACAAGTAAGTACARAATTAATCATGTATTAAAGCTTGCTTAAAACAGCAGACATTAGTACTGATTTCTTAATCAAAAAGGAAAGGGTACCTCCAAAGGTATTTACCAATCCTGAAATAAACTAGACCATTGATAAGGCAAAAAAAAAATCTGATTTCTGCTAGCAGTTTGTGTCTGGCTTAGCATTTGGATGAAGAAAAGGGATAAAGTTAATTTATGGCTCTACCACTATTGCACTCAGATTGTTGTTAAAAAGCACCTTCCCATCTCTTTCTTGGCTGCATCCAGGTTTTCTTAATTCTTCCATTATTTGCTGTTTCAGTTCAGGAGGGGCAGTTTTGGAAAACTCACAAGTTTCTGTCAAAAAATCCAACAAGAGCTCCCCATCCATGCTCCCCTCCATGAAACAGCTGGTTATGTCCATGTCGGATGGTAGCTCGTAGAGCTGGTACTTCAGCCCTGCGGAGTCGAGGATCGCTTTGACGTCAGCAGAGGTAGCATGACAGCAAAGATCAGTTAGAGGGAGGTGAGGCCCATATTTCTTCCACAGTGTTTCCCAGCCACTGTTTCCTGATGGAGAAATTATAAGGAAAACACTCAGGAAAAACAAGAAAATCCTCTTTGAACTCATTGTCAGTTTTCTGTTTCTTAAGCGTCTATGGTCCTTGCTGGAGCCTGAATGTCCCCAGAGGTGGGACACATGTCATGGAGAAGAGGGTAAAGACCTGCCTTGCTGCCTTCCCATCCCAAGGTTGAATGTCATGGAGCAGACACAATACCTACGCCTGGGGTTTCACCAGCTCCTGCAGAGGCCAGGGCAGCTCATTGCATTCATTCCTCACCCTGTCCAGTCCCAATATGATCCACAACTTCTCCATGAGCTACTGGAGGACACCCATCCATAGGTACTGACTAGCTACTCAATAGTATCTTCTGCATTTAGATTGTTCCTCTAGGCTTTGTCTGCCAGTCTGGAAGACCAAATCATCTCTTCATCTTCCATCTAGATGGTCAATCAGCATGTTGACTTCACTGAGATACTCATTGCCTTTCTGCTATCTGCAACTCTGGGACATGAGGTGGGAGCCTGGGACAGAAAATGAGGAGCTTTCCTCAGTCATCCCACATGGTCCCACTCGCTGCATGTGCAAACTGCCTGCGCTCAGTGATGCCAAGGACAGTCACATGCCACTGCCTCACAACGTGGGGCTGTGATTCAGCATCGTTGCTCTAAACCACTTCTAAAGGGATGGCCCAAAATGATCAAGCAGGGTGAAAACAACTTCAAGCCCAACGAGCAGCTCTTGGGGTTTATCACTGTAAATCTCCCTAACTACCAAAACCAATTGCTCAGCAGTTCTGCAAATACTTCATCTGCAAGCAGTTATTTACAGGCAAATAAACAGCTTGGTGCTTAGGACAGAGACCTCCACGTTGTCTTTTGTCGAGTGGAAACCGAATGCTGAGCGCTCATTGCAGGAGATGTGCTGGGGACTGTGCTGTGTGACTCAGTGCCATTCCTGGACCCAGCAATTATAGACTACCTAAATGAAGCGCTATTATAATAGCTCTCAATAGGCTCAGCATATGGCACTGCTTTTGTTTTCAAGACGATGTAAACAAATTTTTTTATTTTAATGTGTTAGAAACATCACCCAGTCGTTCTTGCATCATTCCTGGTCCTCCAACAGGTACAGAGCCAGAGGATTTGCAGCCAACACTGACTGACCAAGTGCTCTGCTGTTAATCCTCTTCCCAGATTGACTGCTTTTTCGTTAACACATCCTAACGTGTTTGTCTTGGCAATGACATTTACTTTTTTTTTTTTTTTAAATGAGCTTTGTTCAGCTTGTCTCTCCCTTTTTGATGTGTGTCCCTTTCTGTATTCAAATTTCATGGATATCCAAAATATCCAATGGAGGAGCTTCCATTACCTCTGCTTGGGCTATTGGCAGCAGCCTGATACAGATAGATAGGGTCTATGCTCACGCAGCTGAAGAGCAAGAATGGTAATTCAGATCCTTTCAAAAATGGATTTCTTGTAATGAACCGACTACATGCATGTTCAGCCATTTTAGAAAAAAAACTACTTAGTATAAATTCAGTTCAGAAAAATGTTGCTTTTCTGCGGACAAAACCCAAACTTCATCAAATACATTGTATTTTGTAGATGTGCCCAAATTCAATATAAATAAGCATAAACCTCTGAACAAATAACATGATTGCTGAAAAAATTATCAGCTGTGACTGTCTAGTAAAATCCAAGGGCTTACGGGAGGCAAGTTAAAGGCTTTCCAGAGTCACATTAGGCCCTGCTACTGCAGTATCTTCAACAAATCTTGCCCAGGGTGTTATAAGACCCCGGTTTATCCTGCTCCCACACTTGCCTGCTGCACTGACAGTGTGGCATCCCTTGTGGCTCTGAAACAGCCTAAGACTGGGGTTTTCCACATAAAAGGATGATATTTTGGAACCGGGCAGTTTGCAGAGAAAACGAGCCGTATGTGCTGCAACACCTGCTGTGCGGCGCGGCCCGGCCCCAGCGACGCCATTTGCTTAATACCGTAGTCGCCGGGAGCTGCGCGATGCGGAGCCGCCTCCGGGAAGCCTTTTAGCTGAACGAGTTTTAGCGGAGGCAGAAGGGCTTCGTGCAAGCGCCATAGCAGGAGGAGGCCACTCCGCACGTTTAGAGGGGTTTAGATGGAGAGACGCCACTTTTTGTTCACACAACTTCCCTCTACAATGAAGTAACTTGGGCTATTTTAGATAAAAATAAAGGCCTACTTATAGCTGGCCTATGTTAAAATGACACGTGCTCACGGGGATCCCCCAGATCTCCACCAGACTGAGAGGAACATGTGGCCTTACCTGACACAAGGATGATGAGGAGCTTCGCCTGCTTCTCCAGGAGCTGGTGGAAATACCGGATGGTGGCCGGGATGTCCTTCACATAGTACAGCATCTGCAAAGAGCAGACACACTTGCACGTACGTGATCATGGGCAGTGATTTTCCTGAGAACAGTATGCAAAGCCAGGGGAGACCACGGCTGCAGGGTGGCCATGCAGCCTGGGCCATACGTGGTCTACAGAGCAAGCTCACATCCCTTTCTCAGCCTGAAGTGGAAAAATATGTATCTTAGCCGAGAGGAGAAGACCTATAATGGCTTCAGTAAACTTAGCAAGACAAAGGCAATTTCACAGAGAGAAGGAGGAGCTTCAAGAACACCAGCTAAAAGGGATTTTTAGTGGACTGCCACCCACAGCCTGGATAATAGGACTACTGTGCTCAATGCTSCTTTGCAGGAACTCATCTTTCATTTTTGCACTTCCCTTTAAATTACAGGGAAATAAACTCACCTTTCTTCTCTTGAAAGTGGATAATGAGGTCACCTACTTCATGCATACTTTCAGGAGCCAGATCTTTGAGAACATTTACAGAGACTTTTACCTGAATCATATGAATGAAGTCCCATTTTTTAGAAGATTTTTCTGCACTCATTCGACTTTCATATTCATGAGCTGTCTCCTTGTGCCAGGTAAACTTTATGTTCTCGAGGTTTGATGTCTTCGCTACACGCTCTAAAATATGGGAGAAGAGAGTGCAGAGTCATCTCAATTGCAAATATGGGATCAATTTCTATTCGGAATTGCAGTACATACAAAAGTTACATTTAAATAGGAATTTTTGGTACCACTTCAATGCAGTCATGGAATATTCAAAATACTGAGTCTATATTTCACAAGGGGGCTGTCCAGATCATTGCAGGATGAAGACTTTAAGTGGCTTGATGATGCTTACCTCAGGACTTGAGTTCAGCAGTGCGTGTAAAATTCCCTGATATCTTTCCATGACCAGGTGCCTGAGACCAAGGCCTAGCTTATTACGGTAAGGGGACTGTGAGATCCATGGCCAAACAACCTCCAGTTGCATGTGTGTTTGGACCCTGGTTGCAGTTTCCCAGAAGAAAGACCTTGATAGCAATGGTGATCTGAGGCCCTCCCACCACCCTTCACCACCCGATCTCCTGGTTCTTCCCGTGGCCACCACATAAAACACATTGCAAATGAAGGTTCGCAAAGGGGTTATTGAAAAGCTGGTGGGGTCAATGGTGTGATCCCAGAAAGAGCTGCAGAGGTGATGTGAGGGACTGGCATCCCACAGCTGGGTGCACAAGGACCAGCTGGTAGCAGGACTCAGCTGGGTAGCAGGCTGATGTCCCCATTTCTGCCCTTACTCAGGCACCTTCAGTCCTCACTACAAGGACAGGACAGGACAGGACAGGACAGGACAGGACAGGACAGGACAGGACAGGACAGGACAGGACAGGAAAGGAAAGGAAAGGAAAGGAAAGGAAAGGAAAGGAAAGGAAAGGAAAGGAAAGGAAAGGAAAGGAAAGGAAAGGAAAGGAAAGGAAAGGAA